GCGTATTAGCATGGCTTTTGCCTGGCACTCTACTCCACAGTGTTTTAGGCTACTGCGCATTAAGCGTCTTGTGTAGCTATGCCCAGTTTGGTGTTAACATGGTTCATCAAAGCCTACCAAAATTATACTATCTGCAGAATCTCTATACTAATCAACTTCCAAACAATGAGAGGACAGTGGCTCAAAAGCACTTTGTGTTGGGAGAGGAAAAAAAAAAGAGCATAAAACCTATGTCTTCAGGGTTCTTTAAAGCATGTAAAAGGATAATTTAATTGAATTTATATAGTATTATTTTGAGTGTAATTTAGGATGCCTTGAATATATGAGAAGAGCATTTTTCAGACTGCAATGGAACTTGAGACACAGAAGAAACCAATACTTGATTTTCTTTTCTGTCAGTTCCACATACAATCTCCCTCTCATAGGCAGCTAAAATTGCTTTTGCTGAGCTATTTTGCTTTTATTTGTAATGAAGGTCTTGGAGGTGAGAGGTAAGAATACCACAGTATGAGACAGCCCTATAAAAAATGTGTCTCCAGAAATGACTGAAAACTAGTTTGCCTCAGAACATCTGCACAACACCGGGGAAAGTATTTTACAGGGAGATTTTCAAAGGCACAATTAAGGCCTATACATCCAACTGCCATTGGCTCAAAGGCAAACCAGGCACCTAGCCTTATTTTGTGCCTTTCAAAATCTGCTTTGTGAGCTCCTATGTTCAGAATTATCATAATACATTAAATATCATTTCTTAAAAAGTGCATCAGACATGAAAGCATTAGTAAGTATGAATGGAATCTAGTCTAAGAGCAATAAACTATGCATATTTTTTCATTCACACGCAGATATGTAAAAAGTGAAGGACAACATTTTTCTAATTAAAAAAAAGCCATCAAACATGAAAAGAAATTTCAGGTAAATTGGCTTCACCATTAAAACCTCTTAATCTGTCTGTTATTCACAGCAACTTTTGTAGGCCTGTTCTCAAAGATGAGAACAAAGCCAAAGCTGTTTCAAGCTTATCTCTTTCCAAACTTTCTCCAAAACATCCCCAGAGCGTAAGGGAGGTCAGTTAGACGTTGCCGTTTGCCTTGTCCCCTGTCTTAACAAACCTCCAGATCAGGGTCTGAGCTCTGGCTTCCGTAGATTTGGTTAATAAGTAACATGGGTTGGAGCATTTTAAAGTTTTTTCTGCCTCTGTTCTCTGACCTGATCCCACTCTGTCCCAGCACTTCATCACCGAGTGATCTTCTACTACTGTAATGCTCTCGCATCTTCATGCTGCTTAAAAGCTTCAGTTTTCTGAAAGCACATGAATCACCTTTTTCCGGTCTCAGCCCACGAAGGCAGGCAAGAATATATTTTTAAAAGCCCCCTTCCTTCTGGATAGGATAGATCACAGATGAGAGTTACCTCGGTGCATGCCATTTTTATATGGGCTATAAAACAGTAAAAAGCATAACACAAACTCATGGGGGTGAATATTAAGATCTAACAGAAACCCGGGCAAGGGAAGAATACACCAAATCTTCTCCCCTGCTGTGGTATGCCAATTTTCTAATCCTAGATCAACTCCTTTTTTCCAACCTTTAATCCCATCCCAGATGGAAAGCATTCGGCTCCAGGACAGGGAACTGACATTTAGCTGATAGTTTCCAGCTTACAAAAATTTTTAGTGAAAAAATTGTTGGGATGGGGATGGGGGTGCGGATGGACACAACTCTTCAACTTTGAAGTTTTTCTATTAGCTTTACTAACTATACTAAAATAACCATGTTTATATAGCACTTAACATGGCAGGGACCTAGCCTCTAGGCTGTGTATTAATGCTGATAAATAATAGTGACAACAATGATATATGGCCCTTCAGCCAGGTGGATTTTGAATACCCTGTTGTACAGGAATCTGTCTCAGAAAACAGTAGTATATTTTCTGGGTAATAAGAGATGGGTAATCAATGTTCTCTAGAAGTGCTTTAAGTAACAGCCATGCTATCTGAGAGAAGTATCTGAGGTGGAAAATTACCTGGAAAATTATTTCTAGATATAAAACAAGAACAAGACATAGATATTTCAGAACTCATATATAAGCCCAAGAAGGGCAAGTACGTGCTTAGTACTGAAAAGCAACCAATACATCTAAGAAGCCTTCATTACTGCACTCTAGCAATCTCCCTGGATATTGGCTCTCTGCATCTATGTAAAGTTAGACATATTGCTATGCATAAGTCAGACCTGCTAGTGCAACTCTATATTTCATCTCCTTTAACTTTACCTTCTCCAATATTTACATGGCCCAAGCCAGGACCGAAACAAATATTGAGTAACACGTTTCATTTTAAAGAGAGATAAATTGATCCTTGCTGATTATTAGTCGCTTTTCAAATGGCCCATCTGGATTGCCTCGGCACATAGGAAACAACAGGAGTCAATTGATCAGTACACCCTTTCATGTCCTGGCAGCTCTGGAGTGCTGTCAGGGTTAAAGACTGTTTGCTCAAGAATCTCAGGCACACTTATCTCTGATCAGATTATATCTATTTCATTTCCCCTGTTAGTTACTGTATGCCTATAACTGACACAATCACAGAGCCCCAAGGCTGTAACCGATATCTGAATAAAGATACTTCAAGACTTCTAAATGGGAATGTGCACAGGAAACAAATTTAGGAAATCCTGCTTTCTGTTACAGGAAATGAATCCTATGCCAACTGGTAGAAATTACCCTCACCATTCGAAAGGAAAAAGAATACAAGTTTTTGTGCTCATATAATAAACTGACCTTTCCTGCCACGGTAATATTTTATTGGTATAGAATTTCAAAGGTAGGATTTAGACGCCTGTTAAAGACTTTCTTGGATTCCTAGAGGGAAGGCTATTTAACAGCATCACACTTTTCTGAAGGACGTAACTAGTGCTGTTCTCATATTTAGTACTTCCTATTGTGAGACGCAGCATAGATGTTTGACTGATATTTGTACCTTTGAGACCTACAGACAAGATTTCTTCAGTGTGGTAAAACATATCTGATTTCTGAAACTGCTTACAATTCAGCATTCAAATCATCACAAGATAAAAAAAACAAGCAAGCGTAGGCTAAAGCATGATTACAGCAAGATGATTTATAAAAGTTACAATAAAAACAGCATGGCTGCAGCCACATTGGTGAAATTCTAAAGCAGGAGTCTTTGTAAAAAGGAAAAAAGTTCATATTTCACTGACAATTTATTACAATGTAGATAAAAAAAAAAAAAGGAAAATGTATGCACACACTAGGAAAACCTTCAGGCTCTGATCAGAAAATATAAGAAACTATTCAGATCCGTTTCAGCCCAAAAGTACTTCCCTGCTCCTGTAGAGCAGAATCACAAAAAGTAACCCTTTAAATGGGAGAAAGAGGAGCAAGTAGAGCACAGACCAAGGTCACAGTTCAGAAGCAGCCATTTTTATAATGCACATTCACCCCCACTGCTTTGGTGGCACAAGTACCCCTTGTCAGAGGGGACAAAGAATTTTACTGGAGAAAAAAATTATCTGTTTTGCGTGGTAAGAAGTAGCTTGTAGATAATACAGCATGGACTCTGTAATCCTTACTTCCCTGTAATAACTTCACTGCTTTTTTGAATGAATAGGAAACATTTAAAATGTTTTAATGAGGTACCCTGCTTTTGTTACCATTCTTTGGATTAAGGTACATATAGGCGTTACATTTAGACTGACAACCAGAGTTCGGTCAATCTAATGGTCCACTTCTACAGGCACGCAGACGGCTTAAATCATCCAAAAATGGCACGCCCAATCTAAATTAGTTCACCTGAGCAGGTGCACTGATAACTTAGATCAAGATCAGGTTAGATCAATCTATGTAGGGGTTAACCTGATCTTGTGAACACCTCTAGACACCATTCCCAGTGAAGCTCCAGAGCTGGAAAAGCTCAGCCACTTGCACCATGCAGAAGCTGTGCTCTGCCCTCCCCCCCCCCCCCCCCCCCCCCTCTCCCCCATCCTGCCCTGCAGACCACCCCCCATGGACCCACCAACCCTCCCACAGACCACAAGTCCCACTCCTTCCCTGTTCCCCACCAAGTTACTTGTGCTAATTTTGCCACGCAGCTTCCAGGAGCAGCAAACGGCTGTCTATGCTACTTCTGATCTACATTCAAGCTGTGTGAATGTAGATCAGGTGCAGTGCAGGCCCACATGCACCCACAGGTTATTTCTTCATTGCAAATTTAAGCCAGATCCCTTTAAGCCTGGGCTATATCCTGTGGTCAGGGGTATGGGTTACTGCCCACTCAGCAGTGTGAATGCAGACTAAGTCACTGAAGTCTGACAGTACTCAAATGCCTTCCCATAACCACTAACTTCACCTCCCAATGAACAAGTTCTCCCAAAACCGATAAGGAAGCAATCAGAGCATCTTAGTACAAAAAACAAAACAAAACAAAAAAAATGGTATATGTCCCCAGATCTACCTAAAACACAAGTAGGGCTTTGCAGTGGAGAGATTAGGCTTACTGAGGTGTCAGGGTCCTGCAGCAGTTCTGCAATGAAGAGGACTTAACTCACAGAGGTGGGAGGATGAAGGCAAGGAACAGGATTTGGCACCGATATACCAGCAGGGAGCTCCACTCTGACAGAGGGTTTCGGAGGCTACTTGAATTGAATGCAGTAAGCCCGCCTTGAGCTAAAAGTGTATAAAAACAGACACTGAATTTCTCCCAGGACAAAGCCTTTTATCTCAGAATCGTACAGACAGACAAGTCCATTGTCCCACTTTAAGTACCTGTGAGATATTTGAGAGAGCACTTTTTTTCCAAAACAATCATGACTAATTTGAGTTAATTGCCAACTCAAGCCATGTGTGTAAATGATTCGCTCATACCTATTTTGATGTAGTCAAAGCGTTGTCCTTTAATTCCTTTATATACCCAGATAAACCCTATGTCTGTTTTTGCCCAGAGGAGAACAAAAAACAACAGCTTTTCTAGCAGGTTTTACCTCATCTGGACTGGAAGCCTGGTACACCCTGCATGAGTCTTCATAGTGTCTCTCAGCTTCAGCCTGATCCGTCACGCCATTAGACTCGTACACTGGCGTCACATTGTGGCAGAGGGCAATGGCTTTCACGGCCTCATGAACCCGGCTGCTCATGGTTTTCCGTACTTTGGTGGCTAGAGCGGGCCCTTTCAAAGCAGGGGGGTCTTGTGGCTGCTAAAGAAAAAGAACGTCACAAACAAAGCTCTTAATGGGAAGGAAAGCAGATTCCAATTAAGGATCTTACTTCAATTAAAACCACACACACAGTATTAGTACAGATGTACTCCTCCAGTATCTTGGGATATTTTCTTGACTGGGGCATCCTTTTTTAATGCATACTGACCAGGGGACAATCTTCTATTCACAGGAAACTAAATGAATATCAATTTACTTAACCATAGCTTTGGTGGGAAAAAAAAATAGCTCTCAAATATTTAGCCAGGAGCTTTCAGCCCAGCATCAGTGACAAGGACCATCTGTTGCAGATCCACCAGACACTAATAGCCACGAGATCATGGGTTCCACTGAAACCATATTTTAATCAGGAAAATATCAGTGGCTCTGATGCTTCAAAACAAATTGGATTTCATATGAATGAACATATTTGCTGAGAGCAGATGGGCTTACATGGGACCAGAAATTTAAATTTCATTAATTTAATTTTTAATGCTATTTTTAGTATCAGAGTCCTCAGATAATTACACAATTACTAAATTATGCTGGTCAAAGAAGGGACATACGGTGATCCAGTTTCCTGCTCTGTTAACCTTTAATGTCAAGAGGACAAAAGTTTCACTTCCAGGTCAAAGGGCATGGCATGGTAAAAATAAGAGTAATGACTAAGAACTACAGTTTAAAGGGAATCATTACTAGCAAATGCTTCTGATTATGAAGAATCTAACCTCTTAATTATAAGCACACAAGATTTATGGGAAGTTCTTTTTATTGCCCAGTTTTGTACAATTAAATGCTAACCTAAAAATGTATACTGCCACTTATCACTGTAAGATCAGAGTGCCTTTCATCAAAAATCAGTAGCAATGGAGAAGTCCTTAAAGTACATTTAGATTCAGATACAGCACGATTCACATACTGGACCCAACCAGTTGTCCATTAAATGTGGTGTTCTGTCTTGAATAATACTATTTTAGGAAATAAGTAACCACCATTTCCTCCCCGTGCAGACAGAGATGTTACCCCAACTGTATAGCCAAAACACAGAAAAGGTCACATCTTATAAATGTTCTGAAAACCAAAGAGCAAAAAACTGAGATAGCTGTGGCAACTGAAAGTTGCACCTACAAACATTCACACACGGACTGTGAAGCGTTCAATGGGCAAAGGTAACCAGACGTGAGATGCACACCCATTGGCGTAACATGAAGACAGCAGCCTGAAACACCAAATGGCCATTGGCTCTCACTTGCCTGGTGAGAGGACAGGGAAATGGCCTGACGATGTGCACAGGAGAAAGTGCCTACTGAAAAGAGATTCTCAAGTTCAAGGGAATTAACACTGATTCTGCTGCCATGAGCATGCTCCAAATTGTTCAGTTCATAGCATTTTTGGTTCGGTTTTTTGGGGAAGCCCCCAAAGTGTTTGGGGAGGGGGGACAAAAGGACTATATTTAATGTTTTAACTTTTCAGGAGGGAGAGGTTGAAGAGCCCCTTGATTCTACATTTGAAGGCAGTGGAAGGCAACTTTTCCTGCTTTTCCAGGTAGGCAACCTTTTTCCCCACCCCAGGTCAGAGGCAGATGAGGGCATGTGGGCATTAGGACACAGATGCTGCTGCCGCTTGCCTCCAGGGTAACACTAGGGGAGCCTCTTCCCTGCAACAGCATGGGGAGAGCATCTGCAGCCGAAGCCCCATGTCTGCAGCCCGGATCCAATGGTTTCATGAGCCAGATCCATCCTACAGGCTGTAGGGTGCTGACCCCTGTTCCAAGGCAAAATGAAAGCAAATGCAATGTGCAAGGAAGGTATCAGTTGGCTGCAGTGGGTATTTGGCTGGGGGGGAGGAGGCAGGAGAAATACAAGCCATATGGAAAATACTTCTACCACATGCAAAGCAATTCCATAACCAATAAGAAATAGAGGTGGTTGACATTAAGACCTTGATGTACATAGGCCCCCTAATCTGTTGCCAGACTCCACAGAATACGTCTGCAGGGTTGCATTTTACAAATGGGAATAGCCAGGAGTCAGTAAAGACAGAGACTTCTGTTCTTAATTAATAACTCACTGCAAAGGTATTTCTAATTGCAGGACATTCTGATGGCTGGAAAGAAATCTTATTAATAGCAACTAAAAAAAAAGAATAATGCTTTATTGATGATCACATTACTATTCTTCTTTAAATCTTTAAAACAGTATTAATATAAATGCAACCTAGATCATTAGCTACTGACAACTTCCTAATGACCAAACTATTCCCCCCCCCAAAAATTAGCAGTGTATTGGGCTAGAGAAAGAGAAACCCATTCTGCATTTTATAAAAAAGGAGGACTTGAATATTTGGTATGAACATCTGAAAAATCCATTGGAAGCCAAGAGAAATACCAAACTCTCATAAGCATTAAAAGTGACTTCAGTTATTTAAATTTTGGTAAAATACATTTTTACTGAATTTGAAAACACTCTCTAGTGGAACAAATGGTCTTTTGCATTTTCACCAAGTTTAGAAAGGAGCCCTCCTTTCCCTGCCCCCCATTACCATTTTCTCATCTGAAAAAAAACGCTTTCATTTTCAATTTTCTTGTCATGAGAACTACCTTACTTAAGTCCAGTTTTACTGGAAAGTTTCCATTTTAGGAGATAGACCATCTTCTAATAGGTAAAAGCGCTAAAATGCAAACAAATTTCATGTAGCAATTTAAGGGTCATAATATTATACTGCAAAAGGGATTTCTCTATCTCCTCCCACCCCTTGATTATCTGTTTTTTTGATTTTTTAAATTATGGAGGGGGTTGTTTGTTTTTGGGGTGGGGTTGGGGTTTTTTTGGCTTTTTTCACTTTTAAAGCTTTGTGCAGTATCTCAGATCTAGGGAAGTGGAATATATATAGATATATTTCACAGATTGGTGTTTATGATTTTTGGACTTTCTCTTCAGAATACACATGGGCATAAGACATGATCACCTTCACATGACAGGAAGCTAAGGAATAAATCCTATAGTCCTTTAATTCATTTAGCAAGTTTATGAGAAGGAGGAAAAGAAAAGCTGTGTGGCATATTGTTTTACATATTGATCATGTCACAGTATCCTTAGTTATGATTAAACAGTTCTAAATAATAATATAAAAATACTGTGGAAGGCGTTTCAGACCTGTAAACAGTGTTTAGAAAAGATACTTGGTACGGATCAAATGTACATAAGATAGTGTGGACATCCAAGTTCCCAATTTTTTTTAATGTATTAGGCCATTAATTACTTGCATGTTTTTCAAAAAATTAGGTCATGTTCCCAGAATCCCTTTCACACTAGTTGATAAACAACTCTATTCACTGTTTTGTGGACAAATAATTCAGTAATCTGACTTGATTTTACCTGTGTATATATGCTAAATATATGGCTCTGTACTTCATCCATAGAGTCCAGACCATAAGCTACTGTTCCAAGGTGAAGTCGTTTGAAAACCATCTCATTCTGCGTGAGAGTTCCTGTAATAGAAACAACACTATAGGCCATGTCTGAGCATTGGCTGATCTTTTCTGTCTGAAAGTCTTGTGCCCTGCTATTCCCCAACTAAAAGGAGAAAGGACGGAGTAGAGTGACCAATTTCTATTGAGCACAAAAGCTGACCTGGGTGCTATAATAGACTCTTAGTGCAGTCTGGAGCTAGAGAAAAAGACAATACTTGCGACTAGATTCCCACAAGGAGAAGAAGGGTACTTGGCAAGCACTCAATTAAAATGAATGAGATTACTCACCAAGTGCCATTCAGCTCCACACAAGCAAAGTGAAATCTTGGCCCTGTCAAAGCCAATAGGAGCTTTGCTTTTGACTCCAGTGAGGCCAGGATTTCACACTGAAATTTTGTGTTCCTCAGCCAGAGCTGCACAATTGGAGATAGTAGCTGTTGGAACGATGGCTGGTTTCTGTTCACAAGGTCTTACTTTTAAGCATATTCACTATTAAGCCGCAAATGACCGTTTAAACAAGCACTTTTTAAAGAACCAAAATTATTCCGTCATCTACTCATCAGACAGAGAATAGAGGCTCAACATTGATAGAGGGTGAGGAAAATCACAACTGATCAATAAGAGAAAAATCATCCATTCCTGC